AATGTATGGATACAGTCTAGCCTTGCATATAATCCCTTTCCTTGGCAGATGTCACAGAGCAGCAGAAAGCCACACATACACCCTTTGTAGAGAAACTGCTTCATCAAAGCACAACCATTGCTGTGCTGGTTCTTTCCCAGTCTCCCAGCTCCTGCTGAGCTCTCCTGAAGGAGCAGAGGTCCCTCTGAGCATGCTGTGTACCTCCATTACTGATGTAAGAAACATGTCCCCACTGGAGCACTCTGTTTTCAGCTTATTTCTGGAGCTATCACTGAACCTGGAGCTGGGAACAGCTCTGTGAAAATGAGAGGAACAATCCATGCAGGTGGCCAGCTGTACATCCTCCATACTTTTGAAGGAATATTTTCAAGTATAGGTAACAACCACTGCACTGGGTGTATACATGCTGTTTCATTGCCCTGCACACTGTTTTATAACATTCCAGGTAAACTGCTTTCAGTTGTTTAATTTTATTCACATCATCATTTTTAGGCAAAGCCATCATAGTTGCTCTCCGTTTCGTCTAGTGAAAGTCCATATAAAATGAGTGCATTTTTCAAAGGAGATGCTTCATTTTAGCATAAAATAGTATGTTTTGGTGTTAAGGGATAATGAATAGGTCTCTCCATGCTGCAACTTTGTAATTTGTCTGTACACAGCTGTGTACATATGTATGAGCATTGTATGACTGCAGGTGAGAGACACAGATGTGACCAGGGAAAGCAGCTGCATCTGCTGTCCTCAGTTACGCTGGTGGTCAGTGTCGGGTGTCAGGTGGGGCTGCTCCTTCTGCCTTCCCTTCTCCTGCTCTGAGAAGACCCCAGGTTCCTGTTTCTGTGCAGGGGCTGTGCCCTACACACCTCGTCTCAAATGAATGGGTTGTGTACCAATCCTGCACAATCACTAAAGCAGGACTGAGACCCATAGAATTGTACTGAGTGGGACCACAAAGATATCTGGGTGGGAAGGAGGGCACGGAATGTAGCCAGCAGTGGTTTGCCTGCAGTTTTCATGAGTTTGGAGCTGGTAGTTTCAACTGCAAAGCAGTGTGGTACTGCAGGCCAGTAGAGTTACCAGGCCAGTAGGTGTTCTGGTAGATTCCTTATCCTGTACCTTATTATGCTTAGGTGAGCATGAAACTTCATTGTGCTTTGAGTGGACAAGAGTCAATCTGCTACCGTCAAAACTAATATTTTGTAATGCAGAATCTGAAAACCAGCATTGGAGATGTTTCTGTTAGTCCCAGCAGTGTATCCTGCTGAAAGAAAATGCTGGCAATGAGACTATTCCTCACCTCAGAGCAGACTGTTTTCTGCAACAAGATATCACTACCACTGGTGCACAGACAGCATCCTATGGAAAAATGACATTGTTGGGTTTTTTCCTTCCTATATTTGAGAGATGAATTTGTGAAAGCAGGTCAGACAAAGCTTGGGGCTTTGTGGCTGGTTGTGAATATGGACTTTGATTTTCTTCCCTGTCCTTGTTACCAGTAAGTCTCAGAGGAAACCACTGCTTAGCAGAATGACTATAATTATTTTATTAACTGTTTGCTTAACTATAGCTTTGTGCTTTTTCTGCATCTGTAAGTATCTATACAGCATATATTGTCATATCATCCTACGTTCTTCCTGGAAAGTATATTCAGAAGTCATGGCAATAGTCACTAAGGGCTTGGAAAGAAAATTTCAGTCCAGGTGTTGAGGTAGAGCTCCTTCAGCAGTCGTAGCAGCCCTTTTTTCATACCGAATACCGTGTTCCCCTCTCATGCAGGTATACACACAGAACTGTACCCAAGTACTCACAGACTGACACTCTAGGTGCCACCTTTACCTTTCTCACGCTCTTCCAATCCCTTTCTGGGTGTCCCTGCCTGGATGTTGGCTGTAGCACCAGATGGTGGTGAGTGGAGTGAGTCTTGAGTCCTGCTAGTTGACACCAGAGCCACATACCAACAATGCTGTAGCATCTGACAGGGCCTCTTGCTAAAGGTACTTGTTTAGGATGAGCTGAGATATGCTTTGACTCCCCTCAAAATCCCAACTTGTTTCTGTCAGTTCAGTTTGGCAGGGAGGGAGGAAAATCCCAGCATTGTTTGTTGTTTGGTTGCACGAGAAGAAAGCTCCAAGCCAGAACATAAATACAGTGAGTAGTAGTAGGGATCTGACTGCTCATGGGACTTATCCCCATGGCGCTGTTTGGATTTAGCCATCTGGCTGTGGCCCTGCTTACACCTGTCAGCTGAGGGGGACAGTGCCAAAGCAAGGAGTTTGTGAATGTCCCCTTTGGCAGCACACATCATCAGCCAAGCCTTCTCTTCCTCCTCCTCCACAGCCTTGGACATGTCATTCAATATATATGGCCATGCCCTCTGCCACAACTGAGGAAAGGGGGTTTCAGCCCCATCAACCCCCCTAATAGAAATGGTGTCAGTCTTTTTTACACTAGACAAAAAACCCATAATTTCCTCCTTTATATTTTATTTTATTTTTTTCCCTTCCATGGTGATTTCTGCTACGATCTCCATTGGATATCACACCTTAGCAAGATGAAGCTAGCTCATGGCACTGGAATTTTATAACGGAGAGGAGAGAGTAGGAAGAGGAGGATCCTACCAAGTAGGATCAGCCCCAACCAGAAAGAGGTTAGAAGCAGATTGAAGTTTGTTTACATTAGAGTATGATGAGGCCTTTTAACACAGATGTGCTTCTTTCTAGCTTCTTCTAGCAACGCCATGCTCGTATTTGTCATCAAAGCGATACTGTCATTTTCCAATGCTGTCATTCTCTCATCTCCATGTCAACAAACCTCCTACCAGTTTGGGTGATGGACACATTTTAGGCTCAGATCCTCTGGGGAAGGTGTGATGACCCTCCCTTCAAAACAAGCCAGTCCCCGTCTGCCACTGTGATGCAGCAGTGCTCCTGTCCATCTGCCAGGGGGTCTTTGTGAATGCTGTGTTAATAAGCTCAGTCACATTCGTACTGCCTTTTTTTAAAGCCAACTCTACACCCCTGATGTCTTTAACATTGATAGGGGAATATTATTTTCCCACATGCAAATGGAGAATAGATACCACAAAGTGTCACAAAAAGTAGATTGATTCATTAAGCAATAACTTTAGGCAAAACCTGATCATTTAAAAATTTATAAAGATGTATTTTCCCTCTTTTCAGTGTGTAACAACTGTTTATAAAAGATTGTTGCCAATCTTAAACTGCACTAGTGCTTTTATACTCTGAAGCCTTTTACTTGCTGATGAATTTGATGAATGCATTTACAGTACTTCAGTAATCCTTCTGTAACAGCCTCATCTTCAAGTTCTTGCAATACGAACCTTCTGGACAAATCTGAATTATCACATGTCACACAGCCCAAGTTGGCTCAATAGCGTGGTGTTTATGACATCCTTCAAACAAACTTAAGACTCGAAGCATAAATTACTAAGCAAAATCAGAAGCAAAGGATGATGAGATGGTCTTATACAGAGTTGGAGATAACCAAAATAGAAGTTCCTTTAGCAGGTAAGACTTTTGCCAACTTGTAATCTTTTGCTTTTACAACCTGTTGCATGGCATTGTTTAACTAATAGCTACATTAAGTAAAGATAACCTGAAATAAATACAGGAATTCATCCAGTTGTCATGGCTTAGCTGAACTCCCTGTGACTTGGTGACCTCTCTTGCCCTTTGCTTACTTTTAATCCAGAATCCATCTGCCTTTCTTTAGTTGCTTCTGCTAAGACTTTTATGTAGTGGTTCTGTTGTGAAGAACTTTTTTGTGCTGTCACATTAGTGTTTGGACTTTTGGGTCAAGTGGACCTTTCTACCCAATTTTTTCAGGTTACTGTTCCTGTGTGTTTGCTATGGTCATGTTGCATTAGAAAGTCTGTGTGTGTGTGTGTGCCAGTGCTAAATCCATGGCTCCAGACTGTCTTTACATGATAATAGTCTCATGTTGGAGTCCACACCACAGTATCGTGATGTCCATGTGACCTGAAGTGTGTTAGGATCTCCTTACAGACAGGTATGCCATGATGTACTCTGTCCAGGTCTTTTCTCCCTTATGAATCACAGCAGTTTAAAATGGTGCTGAGGAAAACTGTTGAGCTATATGTATTTTTAAAAGAAGCAGTGCTGAACCAGTGTATAAGCATTCAGTGGAAAGGAGACCAGTATGATCTGTAATACTGCCTGTACTCCGGAGCTGAGCAACTTCTTTAGAACTATAAAGGGATTTGAGCATGTGTTTATTTATTAATTATAATTTTTTACTTATATCTGTGCTCTTTGCAGCAAGCCCTGTATTGCAGACCTGATGCCCTGCTTGCTCGTGTTGTACAAAATAACATGGATAAAACATCACTCAGCACATCTAAGTGCATGCCTGTATATGTAATCATTGTGCATATAGTCACACATTTGATTTTCTCTTATTTTTGGAATGATACAGTCTATTGGCATGGCTGTGTGCTTTTTACATTAATTTAAACAGGTAAAATCAGATAATGTATATTCTATTGCACATGCTGATATCCTTTCATTTTACCATTTTCCTATAGACAAAGATAATGAAAATTGATATTTTGAAATGAAGAATTTAATTATCCAAAAATACCCTTAATGCTGACATGCAGAACTGGTCTAGCAGAAAAAGCATATCTGATCCAAGTCATCATCAATTGCTCTATAATTACAATGACAGTACAAAAATGAAGCAACCTTACCTTAGCTCAGGAGAGTCTTTTTGCTCTATCCCAGGCAGTTTCCTCTCCTTATTCAACTGAAAAGGGAAAATCCACTTAAATAAAGGAAAATAAATACTAGAAGAGTTAGGGATTTAAGAAGTTCTCATCTGAACTGCTGATCCACTTGTTTTTAGCAAATTGCAAAAAAACTCAACCCAGCAGTAGCTCAGAGGGACTTTCCTCTCCTCATGTGTTCTGTGGGCTGAGAATCTGCAAGAATAAACCTGAGACGGTGCTGCAAGAGAGAGACAGCGGGGGGGACCTTGGCACGGAGTTGGACCAAACTCTAAATATAGCCCAACCCACTTTCTGTGCAATTCTCTTCATACTCTGAAGGCAGATGACCTTGTTGGAAAACTGACCTCCGAGTATGTCCCTTTTCTTAGTAGAGAGGATCTGAGGGAACAGGACTGCAGCGTAGAAGGACAGAAAAGCAATCGACCATCTGCATGCAGCAAATGAATGTAGGTATGAGCTCTTATTTTCATGGTAGTTAGAACTGATTGACTCATAATGTGCTTTATTTCTTCATTTAGGCAGCTGAGCCGCATGTCAGTTCACAAAAGGCCTGTACAGATGATAGATTGCATTGTAATTTGTTAGTTTCAAATAGAGAGCACTGACATAGATGACAAGCCTGATGCCTTTCTTCCTCTCAAAAACCTTAATGTATCAGTGTACAGTATTTCCCTAAAAGCTTCTAACTGTAACAATTATCCTTCCTTTCACTTGCTCTTATAATAAGGAAGACTTTCTGTAAAAGTGAGTTAAATCCACAAATGCATATTCTAGCACTGTATAAATGTGAGATGCTAGGATAACCTGAAAGGGCATCTGCAGTATCAGAGACCAAACTGCACAGCAGTGTGTAGTATATGCAGAGGAGGAAGCAAAAGAATAAGAGGCACAGAAGCATAACCCTTGTGCCTCAGATGGGGAACTGGTTTTCAACAGATGTTTTATAATCTGGGGAATTTGCCACTCTCACTCTATGTGGCAACATGTCAGGGTATTTTGTTCTTAATCTGAAGGAGAGTTTAACTTGATATGAGTTAACCTGATACTCTGTCAAATGGGGACCTGATACTGCTATGTCATATGAAGGCTTCTAAATAAAAAAAGCTGCAGAAATTGGAGCAGCTCAAAATGTCAACTCTCATGTTCTATGTAAAGATGGGTAAGAGAGTTGGGATGAAAGATTATTTGCAGTATTGTTCTTCAGTGGGATATATTTTTTGGTGGTAACATATATCTGAGTGCATGCTACATTGTATGCGTGCATACAATTTTCAATATTCTGAGAAAACCTGACTGAGAGAACATCAGGACTGTGATAACTGCATACTGTAGGTGCAAAATGTCTGCAAAATATCCGTGAGCCAAAAAGGCGGGAATGGTACCAGTAGTCAGTAAAGTAGCAATGTGTATCTATGAACAATAATTTGTGCTGTTAAGTTTTTGTGAAGTGTGCTATGTATCTTTTTTAATTGCAGCCTACTATTTTTGGCAAGTTCCACTGTGTAATTTTATCGTGATCTATAGACTTGAAGTCCACAGGATCAGCCAGCTCTCTGTGTTACCCTCACAGCAAGAACTACAGCTGTGAACCACAGCTGCTTCCCAATATAGAGAATAGTAAAAAATATGAATCCTTGGCAGTATTACGGGAGACATCACATCTGGGCTACATTCCTGGCTAAAACTTGCTCATAGTCAGGCCTAGGCTACAGCCCACCCATTAAGTGATTTTATGGATTTATCCAAGTTCCTCTTTCCTCCCAGTTTACCTCTTTCTTCCCCATTAACAAGAATAAATGTTTTTAGAAGTGAAAATTATAACAAATGAAGGATGCTAGTGTTTGATTTTGAAGGGAGAACTTGAAAAATTAATGAGTCCACCTCCAGATAGATCTATATTGAGTAATATATTAGCACTGGATAAGTAGTGAAATTCTAAATGTATGGGTCACCAACATTATTACATACTGATAGCATTGTGCTGTCTGTGCTCCAGGGTGGTGCTCTCATGAGATCCAGACCAACCCTACCAACTCCAGCTGCACAGTGCCACTGCTGCTTCTGCCCTCCCTCTAAGGCTAGGATATTGAAATCACCACAGATCCCTTCGTTCAGACCGTGAAAGAGATGAGGATTAGAGAGGAAATATATACTTCTTCCCAGCATGAGTGGTATACTTTTCACTCTCTTTTTCACCAGCTTTTCACCCTCTGCAGCAAACAGCTGGAGCAGCTTCCATACATGATAGATCTGTAGTTCTTAGAAAAAGAAGGAATCGCAGTGCTTGCTGGGTCCTAAAGCACAGGAATAGTCATACTTTGTCAGGAACTGTGACATGCACTTCTGCCATGTGAGTATTGTGGAAAGGAGGTGATTTCTTGCTCCTACAAGTAATACGCTGGTTGGCTTTGGGCAAGGAGTGTTAATCTTTGGAGAGGCTTGTCTAGAACGATGCTGTTTGTGTGTACAGGGCTGTAAATGGTGCTTGACCAACGCCAGTGATGCAAACATCCTGAAAGAAGGGGGAAAAACTCTTAGAGTGGTTTTATGTGTTTGTTAAGATGGATGAAAAAGTGTTTTGTTTGACAGCTGTATACACTCAAGTTTTTTTTAGGGTGACTTTTGCATAATTTTCCTGTCCACACCACGAAAAAGGAAATGTAGTAAAGAGTCAGGCCCTAGTTTGTGCCTAGCTTTTCCTGGGCTCTTAACTTATGTTTTCCTTATGATGATGGATGGTCTTTCTGCTTCTTCATAGTCAGTTTTTCTCTTTACCTGCCCAGCTTTCTTTGGTAGCATTTTCTCTGGAGTAATTTGGGTCTGGCTTTTGCAGAGCCCAGTCTGTTTGCTCCCTCAGATGGCTCTGTTGGGGTTGAGACTTTCAAGCCAGACTTGTGGGATTCTCCCTCAATACAATCATACATTCTGTAACTAGTATTTGTCAGCTGTTTTTTCTCTTGATTAACCCCAAATTCCTAGACACTTGTAGTTGTTTAAAGATCCCACAGAGCATTTACAAGGTGAGATTGTGAACCATGTCTCTGCCAGTTTCCAATATGCTCAGCCATATTCTGGCTCGCCCTATTCCTCTGTTTTTCAGAGTTGGATAGTGCTCTGTTGTGAGCATAAACTGTTGCACCGTATTGCTGGCATCCTTTTGAGTGCTTTCTGAACTGACTATATGGTATGTAATGCCTGGCATCTATCAAGAAGAGAAGCTGTTTTTGCAAGGTTAACATTTATAATGTTCATCCCGTAGATTTGTAAACACCCAAACCCCCATGCTACTTACAAACAAACTGAACAGTCTTCCACTTCTCCATCTCTTTAGAAATATGCTTTTAAACTTAATTTGGAGATATAAGGAGGTCGTTGGAAGTTTCAGCATAAAGGATAGTTTTTGAGAGAACAAAAGAAAAAGAGTAGACTGAAGCGATTTGTGGATGTCATCTCAGCCTTCACTTGTGATAACGTAGGCAAAGGGTATTAGAGCAAACAACAGAACTGATTTGCACCCTGTGCTGAAGTATTTTTGTGTCTTCAGTCTCTAGTTGCTCGTTTGGCAAGCCCATAATGAAGAAATTAAATTGGATGCCGAACAGTAAAAGGGCCTGTCATATTCCTAACATGTCAGATCTTTGTGTTTGCCTACTATGGGTTTTAAAACTACAATGACTAAATGGATGTTGAGTTCTCACTGCTTACCTTGGTGATGCTGGTATTCGTTGTGTGAGGCAGCGACAGGATGTCAAATTCAATCTTTCCCTTGCAGGTGAAAAAGTTATTTTTATTAGAAGTGACCTGCTACTTTTACCTCTGATCAGTCATGTTTTGTGATTTTTCTACCATGTTTTTGTCTTACAGGCAAAATGGAAAAGTCAAATTATGAACAGGGCTAGGTTTGTGCTATACCAAAAGCTGGACCTAACCTCGATCATATAAAGTTTATTCTTTTGTGCTTACATGTGTACAACAGAGAATTTCCTCTGATCTTATTTTCTCATATGCTCTTTATTTTGTCTTTTAGTTCATTCCCAGTCAGCAAGACATGTCAAAAATTAGTTTAGAAGTACCTATTTTGAATATTAAAGGGAAAATGTAAAAAAAAAGGGATAGTTGTTATAAATGTATTGTGGGAGATTCTTTGCACTGCAGATAGTTAAGTCTGTGAGATAAAAAATTTTTATCATATCAGAGCATAGTGAAAATTAACTTGATATTATTCCATTAAGACCAGTTCTTTTTTGCTTGAGTGGGCAGTGATTTTAATTTAAATTGTCCTTCAGTGTAAGGAAGAAGAACCTAAACTGATTATCCTGTCACCAGATTTATCAGGCAAAAAGAATCGTTTGTAGTAGATGTGCCTTTTGAACTGCCCTAGGAAGAAGTTTGCATTTTTAGAAGAATATTGTGTTTGCCTTTGTAGTATAAGCTATTGCAAATACTTAGAAATTATTACAGGGAATTTCTATAGACTATTAACAGGAAATTCTGGCTTGGCACAGGCTTAGGCTGGATGGAGTGTGAAGAAGCTTGTACCATCTGAATGTTACCTAATGGGACAAAGTTGAAGCACTTTTGATTCTTTGATAGAACTGTATCTGTTTCTGCTCAGTTGCTTATTGTGTGTCCTTCAGTTGTACCTCACAAGTGCACTTTAAAATACCTTTTTTCACATACCTTGGCAGGTAAAGTCTGCAGTTCAAGGCATCCTCACAGATATGAAAACTTACTCTTGTGCTGGAATGGGTCTGTTTTGCAGAAGGAGTCCTTTGTTCTTAGTGGTAGAAAGGCAAAACAGTGCCGAGACCGTAGGGGACTGTGGATGATTTGGGATGATGGAGCAGTGGCACCACTTGTAATTACCGTGGAGATTATCTCAGCCCGGACAGAGAGACAACTCTGTTCTCTGTTGCAGTAGGCTGATAAAGTTGAAAAAGGAAAGGTAACTAACTGATAATAACCCGCAACAGAGCTTTATGCCCAGCTTCTTGCTTCCTAGTAGCAGTAACAGATACCAGTTCATTCACAGAATTCCCTCTTTTAGTTCCAAATGGTCAAAATACCCACATATTTTCAGACGCTATGAATGAAGGCACTTAATTTGATTCATTACACTGGTTTGCAAGCTAAAATGCAAAACTTGCATCAAAGATTTGCACTGAGCTGTAATAGTATATCTTTTGATGCAACTAAATATTAATTTTTCATTTCTTGTATGTGTTCTTATACTGATTCCTAAGACTAAATCATGTTTTGCTATACAGTTTTAAATGATTTAGCTAATCCTTGTTCAAGGAGGTAAGATGTTTTGGTTGTTTTTTTCTTTTCTGTAATATGTCATCTGGATGTCTCACGTGATGCATGCCTGTGATGGGGAGAATTATTTATTTTTCTGGGGGTGCCAGGGGACTCTTTCTAATTTAGTCAGAGCAATTTGAAAAATGGAA